ATATATATATATATATATACACACACACACACACACACACACACACACACATCCACATCCACCATTATGACTACCCCCCTTGTGAAGTGGATACTGTTGACTTTTGCATGTCAAGGTCTGGGATATATTAGACGGCAAGTTAACATTCAGTACTTGTAGTTACTGCAGAAGAAACAGGCAGCGATGAAGATCTGAGTGACTTTAACAAGAGTAAAATCATTATGGCCTGACAGCTGGATCAGAACATCGCCCAAACAGCGAGGTTAGTCAGGTACTCAGGGTCAGCCATGGTGTACTAAGGGCAGGACTCAGACATGGACCTCCACTCAGGAACCTGTTACCTCCTGTGTCTCTCACTCACAATACCTGTGTGGGTTCCAGACCCAGTGGGTCATCTGTAGTAATGATAGATACTTTATTGATTTCTCTTTATGCCGCCCCCAGCCTGCTCCCTGTAGGTGAGAGCAAGCTGGCTGTGAAGGGTGGGGGGGGGTCAAGGGTCTTCCAGATATGTCAAGGCTGGGCTTGAACCAACAACCTTCCAGTCACAGCCACACTCTGCCCCCTGTACTGTGTCTGTGTCCAGATGATCTATATTCAGTGTGTAAGAGAACCTTGCATTCACCCTCCTGAGAAATCTAAAGTATCCTACAGAACAACGTTTTTTTATGTATTCAAGTAAAAATGCTGTTTCAAAAATTAAAAAGAAATAAAACTGCACATAACTTATTTCAGTACATTCTTAGAGTTTATTAAAGGTCTGTGTTGTTATCCATATCATTTAATAACTGAACTGTTACTAAAACATCAATTGCCTGTGAAATGTTTGATTTTGTTTAGTTTGTGCATTGAAGGGTAGGTCTGCATTTAGCCTTGACTCATAGCATTTGTGGATCACATGGGGCAGTTGTACTTATAAACATTGAACTACTTTAGTGTAAATAAAGTGTCATGCCCTTCAAACATTATAATACATTGCAGCTTTCAGTAACTACGGCTGCAGTAAATGCGTAATACAGACATGCTGTTCTCTTGTTGGATGGTGTAAAATCCTGAACAAGATGTCTTTAATCATAAGCAACCAGAGATATATGATGAAGTGCAATAATTGTAAACCTTTTAAAATGATGTAAAGATTCACAAGTACTCCTTTCCCAGAGTACAATGAGCTGATACTGAAATCCCACAGAATATTGCCATTATTATAGACAAAAGACATTTTGACTACAAGGACACACCTCAGAACATCTGGCAGTTCTGCTGTCACCCAGCCTGTCCCAGCAGAAGTGCACTCAGATTACGACATGCCCACTTAAATGAGTTACATATATTTTTAAACGATTGTCAGTTTGTGTAGTAATTATTATTCAGGCCTGCAAATTAACATCTACAGACTATAAATTCTGCCAAAGCTGAACTACCAATGCAAAAGATAAATGTAAATCACAACTCTGATGTTTGTATTCAGTACAAAATGTGTGAAATTGTAGATGCCACACTGGTGTTGATCTCCTGAATGAATGCTGAAATTCAGTCAGAACTGAGGGTGACAGACCCATAAATTATTGCATAATCTTTTGTACATATACACACTTGTGCAAGGTTTTCATAAATAAAAAAGAAGCTTCTGAACAAATAATGTATTCTCTAAACCTGGTAAAACAAGGTACTATGGCTTTAAAATCATATCTCATAAAAGATCATATTTTATGACATATGGTTTCTGAAAAATGTAGGTCCAGCTGATGTGAGAATGAGGAAATGCATTGTATGTGTTGTGAATACTGGAATAAGAATGTCCATGTCAGTTGTTTCCATGGGGACCAGGACTCGTGTCATAGAGGTCTGACACCACATAGTCCCCATACTGGCCATCAATCAGTTTGGTGGCACTGTTCTTAATGAACCAGCAGTCAACAATCTGCATGCTGCTGTAAATCCTCCTGGTTTTCATAGTCACAGCGAGTGTGTGGCCTTTGATGTGCAGGGCAGTGAAGGTACCATCTGACAAGAGCATGTATTCATCAGGAGACAGCGTAACATTTCTAGAAAGAGTAGGGGAAAATCTGCTCATGTTGCTAAGGTCTTTACTTTGTG